TAGAAAACAGTGGAATCGGTTGTGATATACGACTTGAATGGCTATTATCAGTGGACAGGCATTACTTACCGTCAAAACAGGAACGTATGGTCGCATTGGTTTGGGATCTCATATTTGTTACATTTAATCAATAAGTTCTAAGGAAAGGCATATTTTTAAATTAAAGATAAAAGTTTATTTGTCAACTAATTTGTATGTGTAAAAATTATTTATATATAAGAAAAGTATCATTAAACTGAAAACTACTTATAACTATATTAGTATTTTGAACAAGCTCTATATCATAAATATTAAATATACTTTTCTATAATCTAAGAGAAAAGGGAATACAGTATTTTTTATCAGCATTTATGTTAAAGTTTATAAAACATGGATAAAAATAATTCAATGTTTCAATTATGTCACACAATATTAGTGTTTTTGTCGAATCAATCAATTTTGCGGTATTTGTGCTGTAATTCTGTAAGAAGTGAATTCATACTCATATACTCTATAATAATTAGCAAAATAATTTCAAATTTATTAAAATTGAATACAAAGTTTTACTTTAGGCACACTTTTACAGTATATTTATTTGACTAAAGAGTCTTAAATATTTGATAAATAAAGTCACTGTAATATTCAACACATAAATTGAGTCAACAATTTTAAGACTAAATTATATATATTAAGTTTTAATGAATTTATTATAAATAAAATGATTTGAAATGAATTAATGAATTATTTGTTTCATATTTGATTGCAATTTGAGAAGAGATTTACTCTGAAGACCACAACTCATTAACTGAGGAATATGTGACTCAAGTATAGTACAGAATTTGGTTTCAATTCATATTTCACTCAAAATTCTTCACATTTCTTCGAAATCTAAATTCAATAAACTTTTTAAACTAATTATTTGTTTTCTTATTTCATTTATGTATAAAATACTTATTACTAATACTCACTAACTTTTAAGTATTTGGATGTTTTATTAGTACACAGATAATACACAACATTTTATTAATTGGTTTACACTTATTAGACTATTTTTATAATTATGACTTATGGCAGCACTGGTTTGGGATCTCATATTTGTTACATTAAATCAAGAAATTCTCAATAAAATCATATTTTTAAAATCTAATATCAAAAATTCGTTAATAAATGTCTTAATATTGTCGTATTATTAATATTCACCGGTGGATGCGATGCACCGGTAGCTAAGGACCATCCCATCGACACATCCACCGATATATCAGATAAACAGTATATACCGGACGGACAGTCAGACCGGACAGTCCTCTCGCCGGGCTATCGTCCACCGGAGCCTCAGACGAATACATCACTATTAGACCACCGCATGAACCGGAGCTCACAAACAGCCGGTGCTCACGACTGTTCACCACCTCAGGGCTCATCAGCACTACTGCCGACACCACCACTCATACCAATGCCAATGCGATCACTGGATCTTTTGGTGAGTCCACACATATGACAGCATTTTGTCTCTGGATTCTCATTGAAACTGATTTTTAAACCTAAAACTCAATCAATTGTTTAGAAAATTTTATTGTTTAAAATCCGTTGAATACTACAGTAATATAACGTTAAAAATTAAATTCAATACAAAATTAGTAATTTCTAATTTATTTTGATCTAAACGTGCATAATTGTACAGTATAATTGTTCAAATTTTAAATTACATCTAATTTGCAAACAAATCCGTTTTATAAGGTTTTTGGTTTTGAAGTTTCAATACTGAAGTGTTGAATAATTCATTTAGAAATAGATATCAATTAGATATCAAACCTTACAGTTCTCATTATTTTAAATGCAATTGAATTATAAAATGATTAAATCTATTGTAATTCTAATGTTACTGATAGTGAGTGTGAGATCAGAATCCAATTCCTCATCGGTGTGTGAAATATGCGGACAATTGCCACAAATGCCACAAAAGTATGATTTCGATGAGTATGTCGTTTGGGTGTCAAAAACCACTGAATTCAATGACAAACTCTGGACATTAATGGCAAATACGACTAAAAATGCTTATCAAGTGAACCAAATATACAAAGAATTGCAAGATTATAGGAAAGAGTTCTTGAGATTCATAAACGATAAAAACATATTCATTAAAACAAAGAGTCGTGTCAACCAAATTGCTGTCCGTTGCTTACAGTGCAGTCTGAGACTACTGTCCACTCACGAGATATACGAATTGGAGGCACAAAAACCGCCATTCTTTGAGCCCTTATCCCATATCTCGGCGTCCACTGTACTTAGTTATTGTAATAAAGTTTACGACTTCTTTGCGCCCATTGTTAAAGAATTGGATCAATTGGTAGAGGGTAAGGGTGTGTGGATGGATAACCCGTCCGATACGTGGTACTGGTACTCGACGGGTAAGACCACAGTGTCTCAACTGGATAAATATAAGGGTTATTCAGAAGCGGCAGTGTCGTTTGGTTTACTGGATACGGAAAACTCTAATACCGTAAAGAAATTTGGCGTAGAAATGCCCGACCATTACACGAATTGTGTAATTCTTCGTCGGTATCTCAAAAATAGTGACAATTTTCAAATAACATTCAAAGCATTGAGTAGTGAATCAGCTAAACAATGGCAATCGGGTGACAATTACAACGAAAGCACTATTTTGGTTATTACTGTCGTCTCATTGGCTATAATTCTTTATTCAATTAATCTGATTCATTATACCTATAGAATTTGTAAACATTAAACACATTTTTATAGCTTAAAACATATCACGATTAATTATTTGAATTTGTATTATTTAATAACAAATTTGAATATAATGTGCATAAAAATTATTATCTAATTATTATTAACGGATTATTATTAATAATCCGTTTTTAAATTAATATGTTTTTTAGGTTTGAACTTCAAACTTTGAAGCTAAAATCTATTACTTCTGAATACAGTAATTCAAAATGGTATCAGTTCTTACAGTTTTGGCTATTTGAAAAACATTTGCACAAAACGGTTAAAATAGTCGTAATAATAATGTTACTGATAGTGGGCGTGAGAACACAATCCAGTTCCCCATCGACACAATCCAGTTCCTCATCGGTGTGTGAAATATGCGATCAATTGCCACAAATGCCACGAAAGTATGATTTCGATGAATATGTCGATTGGGTGTCAAAAACCATTGAATTCAATGACAAATTCTGGACATTAATGGCAAATACGACTAAAAATGCTTATCGAGTGACCGATATTCACAATGAACTCCTGTTTTATAAGGAGGAGCTCTTGAGACACACAAAAGATAGCGACATATTCTTGGAAACAAAAAATGATGTCATTCCAATGGCCATCAAGTACTTGGGCATCAGTCTGAGACTACTGTCCACTTACGAGATATACGAAGTGGAAGCCAAAAAACCGCCATTCTTTGCACAGTTAACTGTTATCAGTGCCACCGCTGTTATCGACTATTGTACCGATGTCTACAACAACTTCTTTGAACGCATTGTTAAAGAATTGGATCAACTACAAGTTGGTAGATTGCTTTGGATGGATGTATTGTATGATAATTGGCAGACGTATTGGACGGCTCAGGATGTTGTGAAACAATTGGACTCTTATAGGGACGAAAATGTGGGTTTCATATGGACGCTCTTACAATTTTCTTATTTCTCGAATATCGTGGAAAAATTTGGCAGAGAATTGCCCGATCACTACACCAATTGTCTCATTCTTCGCCGGTATCTTCAAAATAGCGACAATTATCGATTAAGTCGTAAGGCATACGCGGGATCACGTACTCGCAGGCGATGGAAATCTGGTGATCAAAGCAAACTTTGGTTTACTATTCTTATTTCATTGGCAATTATTCTTTATTCAGTTAACCTGGTCAGTTATACCTATGAATTAGGGATATATTGTAGTATTTCATTTAGTAAATAAATCACGATAACGTGCCAAAATTTTTATACTTTAGTTGAGCATTGTACAAATTAAATGAATATATAGTGAATTAATTTTCCATTTGCTTATCACAAAATTTTCATTGAGTAAAAAAGAATAAATATTATATTTTGTAAACTTTAAATTATTTTATCAGTTACCAGATCAGTAATAAATATATTCATATTTAACAATTTATACAAAATAATACAAAAATATCACAAATTAACTTATGCATAAACGTGTAAATAAATATATGTATAATTAACAACACAATAATTTTATATAAAAATTAAAACCAGAATTTGTAATGTAATAAAACAATTTGTCGTAAATAAATAAATGGTACAAAATTCTTAAAGTATCCGTTTGTTGGACACAATTACTTCAGTTGTTTGTGGTCGTGGAGGAGCTCATCGATAGTGGCATACCTTTTCATATTATAGGCGCCGTTGATAACGGCGGTCAGTGTCTTGGACTGACCGGCGAGTGATGAGGCGATCGCCAAATGAAGTCTTCCATCCGATGTCCAAAAAGACTTGACATTCTGTACGCCAGGCGTCGGCAACGCCTCAATCACTTCAAACTTATTATATCCGCGATATTTCAGTAGAAAAGTAGTGCCCAATAGATGACTGGCCGCTGCTATATACGTCTGGTTTGATACTTGAAACGAGTCCAAAGAGATGACACCATTGATGTCGAGAATCTGGTAGAAGTCGTATGTCTTGCCATTGAAGCGCAATATATAAACATATTTCGTATAGAGATTGTTGTCTTCATTGCAATTGTGTCCGTATTTCTGCGTCCAATCGTTGGCTGTGATGGAGAACAGCTCGCCATCACGTGTTGAGACAATGAGGGAAGCGCTCGGTTGTGATGAAGACATTGACCTCAACCGCGGAGACGATCTGTTTAAGAATCTCGCGTCCGGTTCGTAGATCTCTTGCGAGACATAGAAGTAATCGATTCCTAAATTAATTGATAATAAAATTCATATAAAAATTCACAGAATTTATGAAATAATAAAAGTTTCAAATACTGTAATACAAAACAATACAGAATAAGAGTTTTATAAATAATACTTAAGATAAATACTGACCGGACGTCCTATCCCTATGAAGTTCTCCAAACTGAGCCTCGAGTGCCTTTCCTTGTCTGTTGATCTGCCTCCTGATATCACCCAAAAGGTGGTTCACATCAGCGGTGTATTTATTATAAAAAGTGGCCATATCTGAGATGTCATAGCCGTTCAATAGGCCATTGATGTGCATCTGTCGCATAGACACCGGTGTTGTGAACTCAGTATATCCTGGGATAACCGCCTTGGGGTCAGTCAGACTAATAGCCCTATTAGCCAGGTTATGAATATTTATGTTATTATAAACTCCTGGCGAATGAATATTTCCGTTCACATAGAGATCGGTGGCAAAAGTTTTGACGCCATTGATCGCATGCCTACCATTAGTGGTGACGAACGCCTCAATCGGTATATTATTTATAGTTTTTCTAACGATTAAATTATCGACACTCAAGCCGTTTGTAAAGTTTAACATCGAGTCAATCAACTCGTTTTGTCCGTTCAGAGTGAGTCGATGGGCGACAAAATGAGACAGATCTATGCCATCAATCAAACCGCTGACATTCAACCCTTTCTGGGCTCGTATCCAGCGCTCAAAACGTGTCGCTCCAGAAATCAATTCATTAGTATTGACGAGAATTAAGTCGTTGGGAACGGCAATACCGCTGAGAGTACCGCCGATGAAGACATCCCTCTTAAAAGTGACTCTTCCCGCCAATGTCTTGACGCCAGTAATTGGTTGCGTCGAGTGCTGTCTCACGGATGTCTCGTTCAACGTAATCACATTTAGGCCGTTCACCACTCCATCCACACTCACATAGCCGTCCACTCGAGTACGTGAGCCCTTTGCCAGCACAGGCATCGCGAATGTCTTACGGGCGCTAATTGTCTGATATTTGCTTTTTAGTACCACGTCGTTGAGCACATGAGATATATTTATGCCATTAATTAGGTTTCTGGCGATAAGTCTGTCGACGAGCACGTCGTTCTCGAAAGTTAACGGCGCTCTCAGCGCCTGATTCCCAGTTCTGCTCACTATCCTTGAAACTAATTTATTGATATCCACGCCATTAATGGGTCCGTTAATGACTACATTGCCCGACACGTGTAAACTGTCAAACTCTTTGGTGCCATAAATACTCTGGAAGTGTGTTTTGGTGTCGAAGAGGACGGCGTTCAATGCCAGTTGTCTTAAGTCACATCCATTGACCGTTTTATTCACGTCAATGTCTCTCAGCACAGACACAGACCTATTAAACAGATTATTGCCAAATAATGTGAAGTTATGTCCGACAAATGCCAACTGAGTGGCTCGCAAGCCATCAATAGTAGCCGGCGCTTCCAGACTTAGTTGTCCTAAATTAATATCATTGACAAAAGTCATCGGCGCCTGAATCACATTATCTCGCGATCGGGACATTAATCTTCGCTGTAATGATTGAACATCGATTGCGTTAATAGTTCCGCTTAGATTGAGGTTTGATCTCAAGATCACGTTCCCATTAAACGTCTTAAAGCCGCGAACAGTTGTCTTATGATCTCTGAGCACAACTCTTTGCGGTAATTCCCGGACTTTGAGACCATTCAAGTAATCACTGAACAAATCGTTATTAAATCGCGTGTTTGACGTAAAATTCTTGCCAGACATCACTTGTTGTGCGGTATTCAATGTGACAACTCTTGCTTTCATGTCATTTATATCGACACCACTGATACTGCCCTCAGCAATGATGTGTTGACCACCAATGCCGGCCGCAAACGCTTTATTAATAATCGGTCTCTGATGCCAATGCGGCCAACCATTAGTCACCACCACGTCGTTAGCGAATTGCGATAACGAATAGTTATTAACAGTTGTCTTCACATTAATATTGGACATGACTTCCAGAGTGCCGGTGATGCGAGTCGTGGGACCCATTAATCTCATATTACCATTAATTGTTTGCCGTCTATTAGTCAGCATCACATCTGACGTTATGTTCAGATCGTTAACATTAGCAGTGATTACATTCCCCAAAACCCTAACAGCGCTGAAATGCTTTACTCCACGGATGTAATCAATGGATTTGTGGTGTTTTTTAACGCTTAGCCTCTCGAATAGCTTCAGATCAATACCATTAACGCGATGCCCATCCCTGATGTCGACGTTCCCATTAACCAACACATTGCCAACAAATCTCTTTTGCCCTGAAATTACTTCGTTCGCGCCGTCCGTCTTGTGTACGAAATCTGCCGGAACTCTGAAGCCATTGACAGAAGGAGATGATAATTGTCTCACTTTAACGGGACCGTCAAAAAGCACCGGAACTCTAATCGTTTGGTTCACAGATTTAAGCCAAAGAATGTGCGCCAAATCGGTGACAGGAAATTGATTAATACTTTTGGCGATTATATTTCCGCCGACCTTTAGCTTATTGAAAGTGACCGGCGCTTCAAACACAGTGTCTCTGTTACTGATGGCCAGTTTGAGGAGTTCCGAGGGGTCGACGCCATCCAAAGTGCTTCCGGCGTCCATCGCTATATCATTCAATACGATCAGAGTATTGTCGAAGACTTTTCGGTTCACAAACTGGGGTCGACTCGAGTTTCTCAGCACAGAATCGGCGCTTAAGTCCATACCATTGATAGACTCGGACTCGAGACCCTTCATAAAGTCGACGGCAGACTTGAACACAACATTTCCGGTGATCACTTGATTAGTGTTTGTCGTAATCACGTCTCGACTCAATTTAATGCCATTTACTTGACCCCCGAGTTCGAGGTCTCCCAAAACGCCTACCGGTCCTCTGAATGTCTTGAGTCCAGTGATTTTCTGTTCGCCATTAATGGTGACCGCATTAAAAGCCATTTCTGAGAGATTCACTCTTTGGTTAATGAGTCCTTTGATTTTTATATTATTGACATTAATGGGCGCCTCCATTATCCATTGTCCGCTAATCACTTGATTGGCGCCATTTAGACGTACGGCTCTATGGGCGACATCACTCAAGTCGCGGCCATTGATAGTACCGGTGATGTCGATATTCTTAGCGTTCAACGACTGAAAGACCTTTTTACCACCAATTTGTTGATTGGGTCCGAGTTTAGTGACGAAATGAGTGGGATGTATGCCATTAATAGATCCAAATTGTTTGTGAAGATGTAGGTCGGCGTTGAGGGTCAGCTCGTTGTAGCGATGATTGCCGGTCACCACCTGAGGGTGCGGCCAATTGGACAGTAAGGCGTCGCTTACGTTCAGGTTATTAATTAGTTGTCTGACTTCCAGATTGTCTGCCGTTAAGCCATTATTGAACGTCAAGTGAGAGTTAATTACTTGATTGCTATTGATTTGCAATGAATTATCTGCTAATGTATTCACTGAAATGCCGTTCAAAAGCAAATTTCTGTTCGCTATGTTCTTAACGGTTGAATGTCCGGCACTTATAGCCCCTGCAAAGACTGTTCGCCCGACTATTGTCTGATTTCGTGATTTAAATACCAGATTATTCATGTCGTTAGACACGGCATCCAAACCGAGTGATAGCTTTTCGACGCGTCCTTTCACATCAGTGTTTGTAATTTGTGGCACTTTTTTGTTACCATTAGTTAGGAATACTGTTCCGGCAGTTAAGGAATTGACTTTCACTTTGCCCCTCACGACTACCGGCGCTTTAACTTCTTGTAGAGTATTGGTGAGCCACACCCGATCGGCCTGTTTGGTCAGATGTATCAACTTGTCCTCGCGATTGGTCAGACTTTGCTCTAATTTCATCAGACAGACTCTTAAGGGATCAGTTTCTGGCGGCTGGTGGGCGGGGGGTCTCGATATGAGAGCCACTCTCCAGACGGCACTCATCGGTGTCTTCATGTAGTCGTCGTACGTGAAGACAGAGAAGTAATGGTTGACATTCTTGAGATACGAAAACAGCTGGATGTCCACAAATGCCTTCTCAGGGATCACGAGTTGACCGTCCGGTTCATACTTTCCATTATCGGATTCAGTGAAAAACATTGCAGTGTTTTTGAAAAGGAAAGCCAACAGAATCTCAGCGTTGGGAAGTCGTGTGACGGCAACACTGATGGCACCTCTCGTCTCAAACAGATCCTGATATATGAGAAACTGGTCGCCGGCCCACCAATAGATTCGTGAGATTTCAGTTGGATCTACGAAAACGAGATAATCGTTGCCATCGACTCGGAAATGAGTTACTTTCGTCGCATAGTGTGGTATAATCTGAACGTAAGTCAACTTCTCGTCCTCTCGGCTGTTGTACAGGAAAACAGTGGATCCGCCGACCGGTACGTGATTATAGAAGTCTGTCTCCAAACTGGTGGTCCGGTTGTAGGCCTGGGCGACAGCCATATACAGAATGCCTCCCATTTGGAAGAGTTTGACCGAAGAGGCGCTGTATGTCTTTTGCTCGGCGATGAAGTCAAACTGCGTGTGTCTCCACTCATACAGTTTGATAGCCGTCTGAAGTGTTTGGCCAACAGGTGTGCGCTTCATGTAAGAGCTGACAGCCATATAAGGTATACCAGCTTTGGTTGTGATGTCGAAATCGCTCTTCACGTCCATCTCAATGGTCTGTCGTCTATGGAAAGTACGGGCGTTTGGGTTGAACTGATAGACCGCCACATATTCTCGTTCACCACTCCGGAAGGCCACCACAAGCCATAAGTAGGACTCGTATAGGAAGTGTTGGGTCTTAAATGGCACGCCATTCCCTTTTTCTATATAATAGGCCAGAGGTTTGACTTCTGGGACCTGATCGCTAGCCTTAACCCCGAGGGGTGTCATCTTAAAGTCGGCCAAAACTAAGAGTCCGTTCGCGTGACCCCAGAATAGGTACGTGTAGTGAACCGGGTCTTCAATGACTGACCACATCCTGATGGGTCCGTTCTTACCGGCGCTCGACAGCACATGACTCGGGAATGCCGACGAAGTGTTCACAACTTTTAGGTACTGTTCCGTGAGGGCTATCAAAGGGAAGGCATGTATCAGTGATAGGAGTCTTTGCATAATAGGCGTCCCAATGAACCCATACCTCCATTGTCGGGCAAAGTATAGTCCAATTTGCGTCTAATCCTCGACTGTTCAAAAGAGCGGTGAAAATCGAGTTTAAAATTATTGACGGTTTGTGTCAATATGTCTAAGAAGTCCTCAGCGCTCAACACATCTATTCAACGAGGATTTCATCGAAAAATTAATTTATAGTAAATTATTTGTTCAATAAATGTGTTTAAAGACATTTAAATCAAATAAAACACATTGCAAATAAAAAATACAGAATAAAAAGTATTAAAAATTAACCAGGTTATAATTAAAATGTACTTAAATTATACTTACGAATAAATAGCGCCAACAAAGCGAGGGCTATAATAGTGAACCTCATTATTATTAACCATAAAATTGAGGACAATTGAATACTAAATTCACTTTTAATAGTAATTAACAAAAAATAATTTACTGTCAACTGATTGGTATGAAATGAAAGTAAAAACTGAAAGTAAATGTCTATATCTAAGCCAATTCCACCCACTTTTAAGTCAAGAATAAGTCTTATCTCTCATACAATTCAATGCAATCTCAATGAAAACTCAATGCAAAGCTTGAATCTGAAACCTATGCTAACCTTTGACACGTTAAAAAACAGGTAAAAAACTTTTGCCAACTTTCTAACCTTGAACACTTCAAGTTTTCAAACTTTATAAACTCTGGAAAGTGTGCCAAACTTTCGCACAATAAATCACTAGCAGATCCATCTAACATAAGGTATTTTCATTAGTCAACACTGATTCGCAAATAATGTCTTACTTCTCGCAAACCCCCTAACAGTCAGTCAATGCATGTGTTGACAGCATGTGAGACGTTATTTGCGAGCATTTGATGGCATTTGTGGCAAAATTGGGCGCATTTTGTAAATAATAGGCATTCAGTGACTGAGGGATGAGTTGAGCGCCAATTGATCTCAAAGTGATTGAGACATACCTTCACTGTTATCTCAATCACTTCCCATACCCTCCACTCCTACCATCCATTTAATCGTCTTTTAAACCATATTTTGATTGTTTTTAATATTTATTTTATACGAAAATTGTTTGTTTTGGTCGTATCTGTGGACCAAACCATTGCAACCACAGCCACAACACTGGTGTCCATCCGGTTGTGGCGTTGACCTCATTGTCTGAAACCTGGTTTTGAGTCCAAAGTCCACTCACTCGCAGACCAATGGATATACTGCTGAACGAGAGATCAGTTTTCGGTGATCTGAACGCCATTAATGAGTTGGAGTTATTGGGAAACTTCGGTAAGTGTTGCTGTCTTCAGACATTCCTCTCAGTCTCTGTACTAACAGTAAACCATTCAATGGACTCACTCTTTGTATGTCTGCACCACTCATAGACCGGACGATAATCACCCCAAACAGCGCTAATATACTGAACATATTGTCCGAGTCTTCGGCGCTAAACCCGGAGGAAGAGGTGATCCGTAAGAGAGGCCGCAAAAAGACGCCAAAGATATCTCAGTTGCCGTTACGGCGATCGCCGCGAAAGTCGGCCACAATTGGCGACCACTCGCGGTCTGCCATCGAGTCGTCGCCCGCGAGACCACAATCAGACGCATCGCACGAATACTTCCTGAGGACGCCGTCCAAGAGGTCGCCCACGAAGTCGATGAACCGAACGCCCGGCAAAACGCCGTCGAAGTCATCGGCGGCCACGCCGTCGACACCGCGAAGAATATCTCCCCGAAAGCGACTCCAATTGGACGGCAACGACAGCGGGTTAGGGCTGACGCCCAGTCCCGGCCTCTCCAGCGGACACGAGTCGACGCCAAACGTGGCGAACGGTTCCCATAAGACGCCCGCGAAGGCCAAGTCGCCGAAGAGCCTGATTATGACCAGAAGAAGGCGTCGCCGATATTTTTAACGACTATTTCAATGATTTTTATTTATTTTTATGAATTTTTTTTGAGTTTTTCTCATTTTATGCTCAATTGACCCATAAATGCATACATTCTTATACACCGAACTCCACAGTCATGGCATTAAATTATCTCCTTTTATGTGGTCTAACCATCGCTTGTTTGCATCTCATTTGATGTGTCATTCATTAGGACAATGTGTCCAATGATTTGCCAAAACATAAGACACTATATTTTCAAGTCAAGTGTCGTTTGATTTATTCATTAATTTAATAGTTTTTAATTTAAGGCTAATTTAGTAATTAATATTCACTTTAGTTTTTAACGTTTACCCATTAATTAGTTAATTTATATAAATTATATATTTGATAGATAAGTATAACGTAATTAATAATTTATACACACGTTATGTGCATAAAGAGATGGGAAAGCACTAGACAATTGAGATTAAACTGATTGACTATTTTTAGTAATTAATGTAATTGTCGTTAAAAATCTATTTTAATTAAGAGTCGAGTTTCCAATACAATGAATAACTATTTTGTTTGACTTTTATCTGTAAAGAGTTTTTATTTTGTTTATTGGGAGTGAATATCGTAATCAAAATACTATACGAAAGATATGACTGTTTGTATTGATATTGAGCTCAATTCACAGATCAATACATTGAACACCAAAGCACTTATAAAATGCTATTTTTATAGATTATTTTTCTCACTCGTCTTACTATTAAATAATCAATTATTATATAAAATATTGCACACTCTTATCATATGTCACATACAAATTGACACACTTTTAATGTCCAATAATTGCCAATTTCCGCCAAAAATTGTGTCCTTCCGCTCAATGTTTAATGAATATTAGAAAAATGGTCTCTATTTCCATCGCAAACCCGTGTGACCACTAAAATTGGTCACTTTTATAAACATACTGTATATGGTGTCTAAAAATACACGTAAACCTTGAATTTGGTTTTTCAGACATAATCTGTTTTTAAGTACAAAATTGTTTCATTAGTTCTAGTTCTCAACGAATCACAAAATTCATTAATTTTGTGTTTTGCAAACATAATTGCAATAAACAATGTTTATTTTGACGAATAAAACACATGAAATGTTTATTTTTGACAATTAAATGAATAAAATTATATTTGATAAACTAAACATTACAATCATATTCACTATAACTTATTCAATGGGAATTGATTTTTCATTTTGACTAACTTATATTTGTTACAGAATATATGACAAGAATATTCACATGGATTTTATTATTATTATTGAATTACATTAAGTTTATAGAGAAACTGAAGGTAAGAGAATACTTACCTTTTGTTTGACATTTATTTAAATGTCACATGAATATTTATTATTATTTTTAATATTAAATAATGTAATTGTAATACTACTAATTTTCTAATATTAAACTAATACAGTACTAGTAATCATCAAAGTATTGAATTAATCAAAACTTTAGTACAACTAAATTAGAATATTTCTGGGTTTATTAGTACTCTAAAATTGTAATAAACTTTTTTATGTTATTTTCTAATATTCATATCTCTTCTCTAATATCATTGAATGCAACCATTATTTAAAGGGATGACAATAATAATAATAAGAAGAACTAATGAGAAGTTTCTTTAATACAAAGTCAATATTAAACAAAAGTGTTGCAGAAATTAGCTTAGATTAGAAGGTGTGTGCGCTTAGACTAACATTTTAACTAATGTTTGTGTCCGCAATTGTTGAGAGAGAGAGAGAGAGAGAGAGAGAGCCTAAGAAATATTGATTTTTTCGCTCCAAGTGTTCGCATCCATAAGCTCTGAAATAGTGTACTAAAGATGTAAGCGAACGGTTTGACTGTTTTTATATGTTATATAAGTAGATATTTAGCACTACTGGCACTGATAGTGTGTGTAATGGTTTTGGTGTACGATTTTTTGCTAAGCTTTTCAATTCTTGACTCTAAAATAGTGAGCGAATAGCAGTTTTGGGGAATTCTAGCAAAAAATAGTATAGACAGTATCAATGGGAATGGGATGAGCAATGCGTTTGGATATAACTTAGAAGTGAGAGAAGCTCTCTCTCTTCTGGTATCGTATTTGTTGAGCGAAAAGTAAGAAAAACAGTCACAAGACTCGCGAAATATATAAAAAGAAGAGATTGAAAAGTGTAGCAAAATTTGTACCGAAAAGCGTTGCATTGAATGAAAAGTCTTATGAAAAATCCGTTTGCAATGCGGAGTAAAACATATGGTTTGAGAGATTGAGAGTTTAAATTGAGGTTAAGTCTCATCCAGACATCACAAGATATAGCATTTTATTGAAGCCACAGCAAAATCATATATAAGTGTTAGATATTTGGCTGCGAGCACCGCCTATTCGGCTACCAGTGCTCTATATTTTATGTGTCTGGAAGAGCAGTAAATAAGTGATTCTGGCTTTCAATCAATCGTCCAATCGATATATGATATAAGGGTTTGCGAGCGAAGAGAGACCGCAAAAATTAAAGACAATGCAAGCGATGAGAGACAGGGAGGAGAGGGATGTGTTTGTTAAAAAACAGTCAAATATGAATGGATAGGATGTATAGTATACAAACAGAGACTGAACACTTGTAATGTTAATGAATTTGTAGCTTATAAATAAAAACAGTTAGCTAATCATAAAAGTATAATCTTTTATTTTATTTTTAGAAATTCTTTATGCATTTAATAATAAATTCACTGAATGTCTGACAGAATGAAAAACTAATAAAAACTATGATAACATTTACAAAGGAATAGTGAGACAAATGTTGAATATGGAAAAAATATTTAGTCTATGATTCACAACAAAAAGAGTGGGAAATAAATGAAATTCTTTTGGTTTCATATCAGTCGCCGACATAATTGGAATCAAAACTATTAGAAATAAATAAATATATAATATATAAAAAAAATTATAACAAAAAAGACTAAAAGATTTGTGACTTTATTTGAAAGGTTTGTGGAGTCGCTCGGGATTATTGAACGGAAATATTGGGAATATTTTGCAAAACCATTGCATTGAAAGGAATTAATTTGGAGAAATTGGGGAAATATCTCACTCGACAACTGGGAATATGCAGTCAATTCTGGGAAATCATAAAACACTGGACAATAAGACAGAGAATATCTTAGAAAAATGAAATGATATGAAAAAATAAAAATATTTGTGATATAAGTTATATAATAGAAGTCTAAACTTCACGGTCTGATAGTTCCCAATAATTTTCTTCCAGTCGACTATAAACCACATTAAGTAAAAGATATGGAGAGAGAGAGAGAGAGAGAGAGAGAGAGAGAAATAAAAACATATAAAATATTCGCTTATTTTCGGTTCATAACTTTCGTTGACTTGTTTTATACCGTGGATCTATATATCTATAATATGGTGTATATATTATACATAGCTATTTGTGGCACAGAATCAATGAATATTACTTTTTATTTGTATTCAGTGCATTGGGTTAACTCATAAAACCATTTGATTATATATTCCTTTGGTTTGGCACCGAATGAGTTGATTAGAGACATAACTGTTCACTGCATCTAATTATTCATCAGATGTATGGCCTAAAGGGCTGGTAGTCTCTGATATAATGCATTTTCGTCGACGATACCATTTTATTACCACTAAATATACGGTTTAATTCATTTGAATCCCCAGAATAAAAAACTAAAGCATTACTTGTTTTTGTATTTCAAATCCAATACACCCTAATAATAACGTTAATTAGTATTTACACCACTATTTCTATTGCTTTTGTGTTTGAATCAAATGTTTTACTATAAAAAACATTACATAAAATCCGTGAAATACCTAATTGTGAAAACAAATTATTTTCCAAAACAGACATTAAAACTAATAAAACAATTTAATTATTGTTTTCATTTAGTTTCAGGTTTCATACAAAGCGCTAGAATTGCAGTCAGTATTGAAATTAAACTTTCAGTTATATTTGAGTTCACAATCAAAAAAGACAGAAAAAACATTTATTTAGGCAAACATATACTGTAATTACTCGACGATTAATATAACATTTTATTATGAAATTTATACAAAAGCAAAAACTCATGTTTTTATTGCTTATTCAATGAAATAATTCATATTTGTTGCGTTTGTTTGGCAATGAAAATGTAAAGTTATATCATATGAGATACATGTCACAGGTTCTGGTGATTCGTATTTCATTATATTTGCAATTTGTATGAAAGTGAAGTTAATTGCAATCAAATAATAGTAATAACAAAAATAATTTTCAATATGTTTTGTATCAACATTGAAAACTTTTCTCGCAAACATCCATATTATAAATGCTATTTTTAAACACATATAAACATATAATAAGTATTAATTATTTTATTATGATTTAGTCTGGTATAGTCGCTAATATGGATCAAGAATTTTTGTGGCTTTTAACTATCGATTTAATCTTAGGCTCAGAGATATTTGAGCACAAGAAATAGGTGTTGTCTCTTATGTAAAACACTACACTCTATCCACTACTACAGGCGCTGTCTTAACATTCATTCGCTAAATATTTGTCATTTCGTTATGAAATGATTCTCTCATCTCAAGTGACAAACACTTTGACAGACATGTAGAAGGTTTCGGCAAAAATTTTTCAATTTGTGTGAATTATTTTTGGTGCCCATTCCTCACCAGCTATTCATAAAATATGTCTCATTCACAGGCACTTACACTCCCACTCCCACTCCTTGGGCTGTCTATAATAGCGTATAATTAAAGTGCTTTTAAAATAATTATCGCAAAAATGTCTTTTAATTTGCACATGTAGCTAATTTCAAGTGGTATAGTTTGCGCTATAATTACGAATGTCTGGGAGTATTGTATGGCATATGAGGAGTGGTTTGTGGAGTCAATTCATATCTTGACAGCAAAATAAGAAATCTTTTTCTCGTTTTTTCAATACGTGTGAGAACTGTAAACAACTCATGAATACCAGCCCTTTCGTTG